CACATCTTTTAATAAGTGGTGTTTATTTAAGCAAAAAAATTAACATGTTAATTAATATATAATTCCGCTAACACGTCATACTAATATTTATTTGATTTTAGAATACATATTTATTCATTGATATAAGACTATAAAATTTTTTATTAATTATAGTTCACCATATAATACTCAATTATTATTTTATTATAAAATTTACAGTCATATAATGTAATTATTATTATTTATAAAAGTTATAGAAGTAGTCTTCTTTATGTAATGAAATTCAAAATAAAATTTTGAGTATAAATGTTTACAAAATACACACACATGTTTTTTAGAATTCAATATTCTCATAATAATTCTTCTTTCATCCTAAGGCGTTATAGTTTATTTAACATACTATGCAATAGAAAAATATTTTACTAACTCATTTTTGAAACATAACAAAAAAAAGTGATAAAAATACTATCATAGTTGACAATAATATACAAATAAATAATACGTCGAAATTTTAAAGAATAACTAATATAATTTTATTATCTAACCATCTATAAAATAATTTAATGATGTGATCATTATCTTTTAAATAATAAATAATATTAATTTTTTAAAAAAATATTAGTTTATTTATAGTTTATTTAACATACTATGCAATAGAAAAATATTTTACTAACTCATTTTTGAAACATAACAAAAAAAAAGTGATAAAAATACTATCATAGTTGACAATAATATACAAATAAATAACATGTCGAAATTTTAAAGAATAACTAATATAATTTTATTATCTAACCATTAATAAAATAATTTAATGATGTGATCATTATCTTTAAAATAATAAATAATATTAATTTTTATAAAAAATATTAGTGTTATATAATTAAATAAAGGTTAAAAAATATTACTCGACAAATATTAATTATAATGGATATCAGTAAAATCATTGCATAAATTATTTAAGGAAAAATCTTTAAGATCATATTTGGTTAGTAAATGTAACTATGCAAGCATTTAATGCATATAGTAAAAAATTTTCAAATAAAATATGCATTAAATGTGTTTTGACTTTTCTTGCTACTGTTTTTGGTAAATAGGTTGGCTTTTAATATATATATATATATATTTCCCCCATATATTTTTTTATTTATTTACAAAAAAAAAAGTAAACGGGCAGTCATCTTCTGCCCGGAGTCCATGCCACACACGAAGTAGGCTAGTAGCTACTGAAACTTGAAACCAAATACTTTTACTAAATAAATAAATAAATAAATAAATAAAACTTAAAACCAATACTTTTGATAATTATATTATATTTAAAAATTAAAAACAATAATTGTTGAGCCAGTTTAATAGTAAAAACGTTGAACCGTCATATATTTTTTTATACAAAAATGCATTTTTTGATATTTTTATTATAAAATATCAAATCTTTATTTATGTTACTTTGTTAAATTAGAGTACAACACTTCAATTGATAAGTTAGGATATTTGGGAGTATATTTTTTTTCAAAATAAATAAATTAGAATACATTAAAAAAAAAAAATCAACCCAATAGTCACTTTCCTCGGTAGTGAGGATGTTTATTTTTATTTCCCCTTTTTAATAGCCAAACACACTCTCCACGCTCTTGCCCACGATATCCCCACAAATAATCTCCTATATTAACACGCATCAACACACAACTTCCAACACCATATCCTCACAAATCATCCATAGCCCAAAAAAAAGGAAAAATAAAAAATAAAAAAAAAGATGGGTGAATATTTTAGTGGCAGCATGCCGAAGCTCGCGCGGTCATTGATACCCATAGCGGACGCGTCCTCATGGTACTGCGGCGTCGTTTTGCTCACGCTTATTCTCCTGCTGGCCGGCTCCGGCAGGGACGAAACTCAAAATTACTACGATAGATCGGATTTTACAACGGTGGTCACGGCCGGAAATCAGCTCCGGCGTCCCTGCGACGAGATCTATGTGGTCGGAGAAGGCGAAACACTCCACACGATCAGCGATAAGTGCGGGGACCCTTTCATCGTCGAGCACAATCCTCATATCCACGATCCCGACGATGTTTTCCCCGGCCTTGTTATTAAGATCACTCCAAATAATCATAATACCCGCTGATGATCAATTGCCTCTGTTATATACAAGCAATTCACACACATACACACACTACACTTTTTAGCTGATTTTTTTTTT